TTCTCTGTCTTTACAGTGACAACTTCAACAAAAGTTAAATTTTACTGCCATTACTCCCTGTAAGGAGCTCTTCCGTGAGGTTTACTCCACACACCTGCACTACCACTACATTCACTATGTACAACACTCAACTCGTGTTTATTTTTACGAAGCGGAGGAGAACTTATGTCAAGTGAGGGAACAGCACAACAAACAAACTCAATTATGCATAATCTATTTTATTTTATCATATCTTTACAGACAAAGACAAGAGCTAGTGGCTCTCAGTACTTATATTGGAGCACTACTAGCCATGAGAAGGCAGTACAAACCTATTGTTTATCCTCTCCTGAAGCAAACAAGGTGAGTAACAAGAGCTAAGTAAATTATTGATGGCTCTTGAACCAAGGATTACCCTTGAAGTGGAAGGGGATTATAACTTGATAGGCCTCTCCGTCTACACCTCATACCCTTTCACCTTTGCAGTCTATGAGACCAAGAAGTGAAAGCTGAAGTCACGATAATCGTAGTATAATKTTGTGTTCTTGTTTAGGCTTGGTGTTAAGATTGGATGCTTTTATCCGTGTATTTTAGGGTGTGATTCCCGCCTTTCCCCAGCCTAAGATAATAAGCCCATCATGAGAATTAAGGAACACCATCAAAAGTACAGGGTGCTTAGACTTTGAGCATTGATGGGAGCGGGAGGCAATGGGGGAAAGTCCCTCAATAGGATTTCCTTCAGTTCCTGTTTTCCCACATTTCTTTTGTCATTCCTTTTAATTGTATGATTACTGTGTCAATTGTCAGGCATCTACTGCATCGTGACAAGATCGAGTTAGGAGTRCCATCATTACAGATACAAGCTGAGACAGAAGCATGGCTTGCCTTCAATCAACCTGCAAAGTAAGATCATCTATTTATTACTAATAGATTTTACAAGAATATTGCATAAAACTATGAAATACAAACTGCATTCTTTCTTTCTTTCATTCTTTCTCTCCTTTCCAGCTCGTCGAATAAACCCACAYCAGAGCAGACTGCAGTATGGGAAAGATTGCACAAACGCGCAGGTACAGATTATTTTTATCCTGTGATATACTAGCATCCCATCCAGGAGGGGTAATGACTAGCGATATTCCAGTCAYGCTACGAAATGCAGAAATGCACCGGCTCTCTTGTCATTCTCATTCAGGACGGGCTTTGCCTATGGAGCGTCCTTTCATTTTCTTTGCACTAAACTACAATGAGGACTCTCGAACCGTAAACAGTTTGAGTTTTTTTCTTTTTCTTTCTACTGTTTCAAACCCTCTAAAATGAAGCCGATTGAGTTCAAATACACTGAGTGATCCAAATATATCTTATTTCCAATCGATTGCCTCAAGGGATGTTTCTCAGTCAGTATGCATTTTAAAAAAGTGACACAAAACTCGAAGTGTTCATGGTTCTAGTGTCCTAACTATAGCATACATAAGAGAATAATACCGTTGTTCTTGTGTTTAACCAGGAACGCAACAGAATGATCTCGAGTGTGGTTTAGACATAGCAACAGGGTCTCTTCTACCATCACATACCGATGTACAACAGTGTTATTTTACTGGYGAAAGAATCAAGGTAAAATACTTAATATAGTWMTGCAGSTATKCTGCATGTTTTGACTTGTTTTYATATMTTTGTTTTTCTTCCAGGGTACTGCRTATGCACTAGAGGATGGGAAATCTTTCATTTCTCTGAACCACGCCCTCATGTGGGCAAAAGTC